AGGAGAAGGAGACATCCTCCGCATAATTCTCAAACAAAAACCCAAAAAAGAGAGATGCAAAGAAATGCTTACATTTCTTTTTTGGGTTTTGTTTGACATTTATCCGGAGGATGTTTCTTTCTTTTTGAATGAAATATTCGTCATTCCATCTTTAAAACATTTCTTCTTCTATCTAAAAAGGAGAAAAAAAAGAACTGCTTACAAGTTCAAACATAAAAAATGTCCAAACCACCCTAGCCATACAAAATAAACTCTCATAACCAACTGCGAAAATAACAACATAAGACCCTCAAAAAATACCTTAAATCCTTTATTCTTTTCTTCCCATGAGTCAACCTCTTATATACTTTGCCAGTAAATGGATTATTATTGAAATTTTTAACAGATTCTCAGATTGGAAGAGATGACACAGAAAATATTACTATTTTATTACCTGTTTCCTGAGTAATGTCAAATTCTTCTGGACAGCATCCCTACCACCAGCAACTTGCAAATCCATGTCCTGTGTGTTGTATGATGCCCCCATAAACTTCAAAACTGCACCTACAACCTCTCTGGGAGAATTCACCATTGAAATCCTCCCTGCAAGCTCAGGACGCCACAGATCTGACCAATCCTGTATGAGAATTTCACTAAGTAGGACATTGTTTCCTGACAGCTAATTCCAAACAACGTCAACTCTCAATCATCAAACAACAATGAATATAGTTCTTCTACATTTTGTTTCAGGCTAGCACTTTGAACATTATTCAAAAAGGTAATGAAACTTTGCTTTTTGCTAGTAAACAATCAATCTCTCATACCCTGGTACTAACAAAGTGTATACATGAAATAATAGCTCCACAGTTCTATCCAAGGAGAACTATACACAAAAAACATGCTATAATAGCTTTACAGAACAGACAGCAGAAGAAATTGCATGGAGACAGAGATGTAGAGCGACTTGGATGAGGGTAACAACAATAATAGATTTTCCCACAAGTTGGCTACTCCTCCAGATGCTACAACTATATTGAGAAGATGGTGGCCATGGTCAAGATCATGAGAGGAACAGGAGCAAAGAGACGCAGTCAATGGCATTTTTGGGGATCTTTACCTTAAACCTTAACAATGGTGCAAACCTTGAGTTCTTCGGTGTTTAACCTTCTTGCAAAGTGGAAGCGTATGTAGGTTTTGGTTTGTGAGAACTTTTCTTGAGGAGATTTTGAAGCTCTCATGAGTTATAAGGGGGATAAAGTCCCAAGTCCAGATGACTTCTCTGTGGATTTCATACAGAATTAATGAGTGATTGTGAATGAAGACTTTTTGGCAATGTTTCTTGCCTTTTTATGAGAGAGCTCCTTTTTGTTTAGTCTTAACTCCATTTTCTTGGTGTTCATCCCTGAAGTTGAAGTTGCTTCATACGTGCAGGAATTTAGATCCATTAGCTTGGTGGGTTCTCTTAGAAAGCTCCTTGGTAAAGTATTAATTAAAAGACTTGAAGAGTGCAGGGTACTTGTTGTGGGCACTTGCCAGAATGCTTTTCTAAAGGGTAGACAAAATGGATGCCGCACCTATTGCTAATGAAATGGAAGAAGGGGCTGGTTTATAAAGTGGATATCAATTTTTATGACCATTTGTCTTGCGGTTTTCTGTTTCACATGCTGAGGAGTCTAGGGTTTGGAGAAGAATGGTGTTCCTGGATGAGGTCTTGCATTTCTTCAACTCTTTTGCAGGTATCATTGCAGCCTTTCTAGGTTTCCAATATCTCTAGGGCTCTAATGCAAGGGATCCTCCTTCCCCTTCTTTTCATTATTGCTATGGAGGCGCTTAATATCATAGCAAAGGAACAAAAACTGACTTAGAGTTGGTTGCGGCAGAGGGAGAGAAAATGGTGGAGGTCCCATTTGTTTTTGCTAATGATACATTGTTGTTTTTGCAAACCAAATTACGATGTCATCCTTAATACCAGATGCATCTTTCTTTACTTCCAAGCTGTCTCTAGTTGAAATATCAACTTGGTAAATCCAATTTGGTTCTTCTTAGGAAAGGACTAGATATAAAGACTTCAATTAGGATTTTGGGGTGTAAATGGTCCAGTCTCCCTTCCAAATATCTGGGTTCTTAAATTCAAGTTCAACAAAACTGTATGGGATCCTTGGGGTACCCAAATTTCGGGAAAGGTTGGGAACATGGACTAAGGGTTTTCTACCCAAAGGGAGCAAACTCACTCCAATTAAATGCATTATTTCCAACATATCCATCTACTAATTTTACTTATTGACACTCCCTGCTAGTGCAGTCTAAATCAATTTTTATGGGGCAATTCTAAGGAGCAAAAAGGTTTCACTCGGTAGGACGGTGCAATGTTAAACTCCCTTTTGAAAGGTGCGTTTGGTATTAAATCAATTGACTTAAAGGAAGCTCTTATGTGGAAATGGCTTTGGAGGTACATGAATGATCACGGTAGCCAATGGTGGAAGGAGATCAAGGCCAAGTTTGGGCTTGAAGCAAGCGGACAATGGAATGGGCACTCTAGAAATCCACATGGTTTGGGCTTAGGTAACCTTTTCCACTTGGGATGAGTTCCATGGTCACATCAAAATGAGGATAAGTTTCGAGTGGAAGTTCAGGTTTCGGGTGAATGATTGGAATAAAGGAGTTTTACAGTACCATTATTATAGTGTTCTCATCAACCAGAGTTAAGGAGGCCACCGACAAAATCTTTTTTTTCCTTCAATTCTAGAGCATGGGATGTGGATCGCCTAAGAAATCTTAATGATCAAGAATTGACAAATATATCAGTCTTCGTCAGCATCTGTCCCAATCTAGTGGTCCTTTCGGGGAAATCAATAAGTTGGTATGGAAGTTGGGTTCTTGTCGTTCTCCTTGATGAAATCTTTCAACTTGCATCTAGTCAATCTAGCTCCCAACCATTGCCCCTTGAAGCAGAATTGGACTGTCAATGCATCTAATTTGAGTAGTTTTTTTGCTTGGGAAGTGTTGAGAGAGAGAATATTCAATCTTGACAGTATTAGAAAAATGGGGAAGATCCTTGTGAATGTTACCCATGCAAGAAGATGGCCAAATCCCAATAACACCTCTGGTTGTGGTGTTCCTTCTCCCTTTGGCTCTAGTGCAGTGTCTTCAAGTTTCAATAGATTTGGTCATGTTATGGCCACGTGTAAAGCAAGGAATTCATGGAGATAAGCAGAAGAAAAAACCCTTAAAATCTGGGCTTGTTTGATTCCCCTAAACAAGAATACGAGCATGTGATCCCATTGAAATTAGCTAGTTCTAATATTTTCAGAAACATGGAATGATAGAAACCATGTAACTACATTCACCAGTTTGGTTAACGAGAAGCCAGTTACTCTTTGATTTTCAGTTTTCGGTTACAGTTTCATTTTTAGTCAAAGTCATGTAGGATAATGAAATCAGACAAGCATCGCATTTTCCAGAAAGGAAAAAGTTATAGAGTTCTCCAATTCATCAGCTAGACCTATTTATTACATTCAGTGTAGCTAGTCCTATTTATTAACTAGGATCTTATTTAGTTATCTCTATTATAAGTTCTCCAATTAATCAGTTGATTTTTTCATTTAGCCCATTTCCGAGATATATTTGAAGTTCTTTATTTTGATTATGTTTGGCACCCACAAGTAAGGTAAGTCAGCTTAGTACAATCCAGACCATTCATATGACTACCATACAAGTATTGAAATATTGATTTGATTTTTAAGATCCAAGATCTTTATTTTGGTTTGTATATATTGTATCCAAACACTCTTTGTCCAATATCAGTAGGTATGAAAGCCAAACTTCAACTTCGCCATAATTTTCTGACTCAAACTTTACAACCCTACTACCAAAAAGACAGTAGCCTTCAAAACTTAAACACCAAAAAGAAACAAAATCAGGAGATAGTACAAACAGGCCATACTACAGTTGACTTCAACAAATCTTTAGTTGCTGTAAGGACTGCTACTACTACCTGAGGGTGCCGACTGGCCTACTCACTGATTCTTAATCCTAAATTCCACCAAAATCCACCAACACTTACCGAGACAACTCTAAGCCACTAATGCCTTCCCGAAACATGAACCTCCCCATCACTTTGACGATACCAAAACCAACTCCAAAACCCTTTGTCAGTAGATGAATTGGTCAAAGCATAATAGCCAACAATAACAGGAAGCACATGCATGGGTATAATGTGCAAGAAATGACTGAATTTTGCAATAGCTGTTTTGGGAGTTGAACTGATCTGTTTAGAGCGAGCCATTTCTAAAGTTAATCCAAATGTTGAGCTAAGCCTTTTCAAGCCAATTTGAACAGAGCTCCTGTAAATTAATTGGGAATTTTTAAACAGTCCTTGCTGATCTTGAAGCCTGTTTTGTTGGAATTAGTTTATGCTTTATACACAATTTTAGGGATAGATAGCAAGTGTACTTGGACTTACTATGGTAAATATTTTTCTTCCATGTAAAACAAGAACTTGAAATGGGTCCAAACTATGGGTAATTTAGTTCTATTGTCTTAGATACGTTTTATCCAGCATATTGTGTTCAATTACAAAGGATGAGCTACAAGATGCGTTATATGAAATATTTTATCAAATATGATATTTAGAGAAAATTAAAATCAGTAGAACTTTTACATGGTTGCAAGCTTCACTGGCTTAGAACTAAGTGAAGATGCTAGTTAGGTACGTGATTCCCTACATGATATTTGCTTTTATTGTTGTTATCATAAGGATATCTAGTTTCATAATGACTAAAGAAGCAGAGGCAAAAGTTCTACATGGAAGAAAAGAGAAGTCACATAAAGGCTCTCATGACTTCTGAACTATCTGAAGATGCTACTCCAGCACAAGATTCTCTGCAAAAATATTGCTTATACAATGGTTGTAACATATGGATATCCAGTATTATTTTCTACGGCGTTAAGTAGTGGAGGCAAGTGTTCCACAAGCAAGAAAGAAAAGTCAGGTAAAGAACGTGGCAACAAACATCCTTCTAAAGTTGATTTTGAGCATTTAAACATAGCTCTAGGAGTTGAGTTATAAGCCACAAGCAAGAGCCTACAATGGTTGTAGGCTACAATATCTTAGATCTTTTATCATACAAGAGGCTACAATATTTGTTCAAGAAAATCTTAGATCTTTTATCATACAAGAGGCTACAATATTAGTTCAAGAAAATCTTAGATCTTCTATCATACAAGAGCCTACAATATCTAAAACTTTTGTAGAATATTGTGCATACAAAAAGGATGAAAAGGTGAATGCATTGGATAGAGGAGCAAAATCATACGGAATTGTAATAATTTTCTTAAGTCTTCTTTGTGATAGAAAAAAAAAAGTACTATTGGAATAAAAAGAGATAAATCACAATGGTGGAGAATAAGATATCCTCTTGGAGAATTTACATAGATAAACTCCAAAACAAAATAAATTATAAAATTGAGTGGCAACCGGGCTGTCAAATATCAAAATATTATTTATCAAAAATAATTAATGATCTCGGAAGTATTAATGCAGGAAAGGTAATAAAGATAGCAAAAGAGATTGTTGAAGATAATGTAATCCCTACTAATCAAGTTAATTTATCTCATGGTGGATCTTTTGATTGGTAGTAAGTGACATTGCACATGTTGACCTTTTTTTTTGGGAAAGAAAGATACCAACAAATATTCACAGGAACTAAGGGAATGCAACCCGAAATAAATTTACAAATCAATCAATATCAATTAGTTCCCCAAAATTCTCCACAGTGCAAAGAGGGTGCCCCTAATCAAAAACCTAGAGCTTGGAACCAACAATCTTTGAATCTATTGACATTAGGCTCAAAACCCTAAAAAGCTTTCCTATATATTCCTTTCCACATGATCCAGAATGTAGCTAAAGGAATAATGCTTATCCACTTATCCTTCTTGACCCCTTGCCATGCCTAATCTCGTGTCTAACCAAGCGAACAATCACCCAATTGATACTCAACAAACCATAGACCAGAGTCCACATACGGTAGGTAACAAGACAGCACAGCAAGATATGATTACACGATTTTGCATTCCTCTTGCACAGGTGATAACAATTAACCAAGATTCTTCCCCTCCTGATTAGCTTGTCCAGGGTAAAAATGCATTCTTTATAAGCTTCCCAGGTGAAGAAAGCCAGCCTAGGTGGCGCCTTGACCTTCTAGATAAGCTTGGTGGGCATATCCAAATTGTTTCTCTCTTCAGGCTCAAATGAATGTAGAAAAGGACTTCACTATGAGTATTCCTTTATGATTGAGCTTCCAAACAGGTTGGTCGTCTTTGTCTTCATTAAGGAAATAGTTTGTCACAGATACGAAAAGAGATTCATTCTCATTGACTTCTGACTAATCAAGACTCTAGAGGTCTCCACATGCCAAGAACCATTCCCTCCAGAAGTATGAAAGGTTTCCCAGAAAAAGTCCTCCTTTTGTCGAGTAAGAGGAAAGATCTTTCAGAACTGATTTTTGAGCATCCACCCATCAAGCCACTTGACATGCCACAACTTCACATGCTCCCCAGACCTAACATTCCACTTAATGCAATACATAAGCTCATCCCTCCCTATGTAAATCTTCTTTCACAAACTAAGGCCATGCAGCCTAGAGGGACTCCTCATAAACCAATCTAGGTCATCCACACAAAATTTAGCCCTAATAGTTATTCTCCATAGCTTGTCCTGTTCCAGTGTTAACCTCCACAATCACTTCTCTTGGAGTGTCTTGTTCATCACTACTGTTAAAATATCACAAAATATGTTACGAAATATTTTTATATAATTATTAATAGATTTCCTATCGCTAATAGGATAATTTATGTGTCCATATATAAATCTTTCTTCTATGTATATATATCCCTAACTCTATGTAATGAAATGTATGTAAATATTCAGAATTTATTTCCTTAAATCTTACATGATATCAGAGATAGGGTTAGGTTTAGGGTTTTAAGGGTCAAATTACATCAGACGAAGGGTTGAACAACCCATTCCCGACACTGGAGAAAGACAATCACCAATCTCCGGTCAG